TTTGAGGTACAAAACCCTAATCCCCTTCAAAGTAGTCTCCTTGGTAGTGTATACACTTCTCCCAGTGTTCCTGCCATTGCTGGAAACACTGCTGGAACGCATCTTTTGGAATGGCCATCGGCCGGCCCGTCGCATTCTGCATGATGTCTTCTCTCAACTAAAATCAGGTTCCTTTTAGCGGCATTTTCAGCTTGGGAAATAGCCAAAAGTCACACGGAGCCATGTGGGGAGAGTACGGAGCGTGACGAACCATATCAGTGTTGTGTTTGGCGACAATAGCCCAAATCAGATGCGCAGAATGGGCGGATGCTTTATCACGATGGAGCTGGCAAGTTTTGATTGACCACAGATCCGGTCATTTGCGTCGCACAGCATCAGAAAGACGACGAAGGACCTCCTGGTAGTACTCCTTTGCGATGGTTTGGCCTTGTGGTGCATACTCACGATACACCACCCCATGAGAGTCGAAAAAACTGTCAACATGACCTTGATATTGCTGCGGACCTGCCGCGCTTTTTTTGGCCTCGATGATCGTGTCCATAAGCCTGCTGAATCTTGCGAATGGTTTACACTTGGGTATTACCAAGGTTTTTGGCAAAATTTGATGTAATATTGCTGCTCACGTTGTTCAGTCATTTTCCAACTTAGTGGAATCTGACGAGAGCTCACTACGTCCTCACTCATAGGCCGACTGCCAACGACTGACACTTCCTGCAGGCGGGAAAAAATTCAGGGCTGTGCATGACTGTCCCCTCCACAACTCCACCAAAAGAGGCCACCCGCGCATCATTGGTTTATGTGAAAAAAATAAAAATCCGATACTTTTTGAACAGACCTCGTATATTAAATAGCATATAAGTAACAACATGAAACTTGATTTTCTATATGGGGTAAAAAATAAAAAAAAATAACTAAATTTTCAACAGTAATGTAAATTTTCAAGATAATTCACTTTAAATTCAAACTGGCATCAAAATCAGTCTTTTGGAAATTGTAATCAATTATTACTATTATGTATTAATATCTGTATTTCTAAATTAAGTAAATTTTTTACTTGGCAGTTTATTACTTTCCCAGATCTGTTATATATAACAGAGGAAAAGTATGGTGATCAGTCAATCACCGCAACATTTTTTATTTTTGGACTCAGAACTTTGAAACTAAGGTTTCTCATTTCCCGGTCTTTTGCTTGTCCCGGGATCCCGAGAAATCCCAGGATAAAATTAATTATTTTTAAGATGTACAAAATATTATGAAATCAAATGATATAATTATTTTTCGTTTTTTAAAGTAATTTAATACGTTCTGTAACCTCCAAAATTATATTAATAATGATGTGTAAGATATATATTAAAAATTCCCTTTGAATTACGTAGCAATTGTCACAAATAGAAAACAATTATTAAAGTTTGCTGGAAACTGCATACAACAACAACAACAAAAAATGCTTTGAATTGAGTTGAAAATTTAAAAATGAACTTATATGCTATTTAATATACGAGGTCTGTTCAAAAAGTATCGGATTTTTATTTTTTTCACATAAACCAATGATGCGCGGGTGGCCTCTTTTGGTGGAGTTGTGGAGGGGACAGTCATGCACAGCCCTGAATTTTTTCCCGCCTGCAGGAAGCGTCAGTCGTTGGCAGTCGGCCTATGAGTGAGGACGTAGTGAGCTCTCGTCAGATTCCACTAACTTAAACTTCTAACTTAAAAGGTAATTTTTGTTTTTTAAATAAAAACATAATATAAAATATTATTGTAAATTTTTATAATAAGATTTTAAAAAGCAAAGACGGTCAATACTCCGATCACTCAATCTAATTCTTATTTTAGTAATGAAAAGTCTTGCTACCGAGAATGCCCTTTCCGATTCAATTGATGTGTGTGGAATCGTGTTTAATGCATTTAAGAGAGGACAAATATAGTATTATGCATTTTTCACCTGTATCCTGAAGATTTCTAGTTCATTTTCAAGATTGTAGTACTTCTTTTGTTCTCTAGTATTCTTGATTTGTCTACCTCGACTGCTTTAATACAAACATCATAGCCCAATAATTTGGTTATTCATTTGTCTTTAATAATCAGGTTATGAAAAAAAAACTTCATACTTGCATACTTTCTACTCGTTTGTATCCTTGCCCAATTTACACAACTTGGCACTACACAGTTATTGAAGCTACTGGGCATGATTAAAAATCAAGACAGCATAAGCACAATTATATCAGATATTACATTGAAAGAATTTTGAGAGTCCCACTACAAATAAGCTACATATTGATTATTGACCATTTGTGACAAATTTAAAAACATCTAATAAGTAGGTTTAAAATGAATAAATACAGATGTATTCTGACAGTTTATGAGTTAATTATATTTTCTATTTGCAAAATTTCCTCAACCTTAACACAAAATAAGAAAAAAATGAATTTTTAAGAAATTTCCCAGGATAAGAAAAATTTCCCGGGATATTTCCCATGTTAAAAAACAACCGGGATCCTGGAATCACATTTGAGAAACCCTATTTGAAACATTGTGAAATACAGAACCATTCAGGTGTTTTTCTCTCTGTGTGTGTGTGGGGGGACACAATTTTGTTCACCTTCTTTGAAGCTTAATAACTCCTTTTTGTTGAAAACTTCTGAAAGTTTGCTGGGAGATTTGTGGAGTAAGAGGATTGATGCTATTAAATTTTGTTGACTATAGGTTGAGGAGGTGGAGGAGATAAAAAAGGGCCATGTCATATCTCGAGTAGGGTCGGATTTAATGATGATTTTACTTGTTATTAGCATTTACAATTTTTTTTATAAAACCCATCCCTACTCTCAAAATTACATTTTTTAACCATTTTATAATAATTAAAAATATAAAAACTTTTTAAAATGAAATATCATAACAAATGGTGCCACCAAATGTTACTGGAAAAGTTAACTGGCTTGGTTTAAACATAATTATGTTTACAATTAATTATCTTCCATATTTTAATAAATTCATACAATTATTATTAAAAGCAAGTAATGTTTCTTACCACAATCTTCAGAACGATTAATTTCCAAATATTGAAACTTAATATTATAATTGTCAATAGAAGAATCAGTCTTCTCTTCAATGGTATTAGGATTATCACACGTTTTTGTTTGAATTTCTTCACTTTTCAACTCAATTACATTTTCTTTGTCATTTGAAAGTTGCTCTTTATTTAATGATTTGTAATGTTCATCATAAATTAATTCATGAAACATAGCAAGTGTGTTATGATATGAAATATCTTGAGATGTCTACAAAAAACAAAAATTTATTATTAATTGCTTAATTAATTGTTTTACTGCTAGTTTAATTTGGATTACTTTTGTGTACATTCTATTTCTTTTTTCTAAAAACTCTTGTTGTTTACATTCAATTCCATATGCAATGTATGGACTTGTTAAAATATCTCCCCAATAACCTCTTCGTATATATCGTTCTCCTTCCTAAATTAAAGAAAAATTTACATAAAAAATAAAGTTATAAAACCATATATATAGGATATCCCATACATCTAGACCATAAGAGCTTCTCATATTACAGTTTCATTACAGGAAAATCATGTCACTCACTACAGATGAACAAATTCAAGTTATTTTGATAGTGGGTACCCACAGTTACTAAGTGGCCAGAGAATTCAATAGGCTCCATCTTGAGCACAAACCAATCAAGCCCAGAGTCACATACCAAAGGACTTCTGTGGACTCAATGTGAAATAAGCTATGACTCCAGCACTACTTTCCTCGTCTGGAACAGTCCTTGGCAATCCTGCTGCAATGCCTGGCATGTATGCTCCCAGTTTCATTAAATTTGGCAATGAGCTTACTAACATATTTGTGCCAGATTTGTCAGCAGTCTAGATGGAGCCTGTTCAATTCTCTGGCCACTTCTCAGTAACTGCAGGCCCTTGTCAGTAAAATTACTTGAATTTGTTCCTCCATAGTCAGTGACATGGTTTTCCTGTAATGAAAGAAAAGGTAATAAGAGAAACTCCTATGGATTTAATCTTATGAAATACCTTGTTTAAATTTTAGGAAAAGATAATTGTATAGCCAGAATACAAATCTCTATATATTAATGTTTAAATTTCTAAATAATAGGGCAGTTGCCATCTTGTCATGACAGTTGTTACTAGTTTTTATGAAAGGTAAATAAAACAAAAACATTGTGAACATTGTATATGATGTATCAAAAATTAACTTTCCCAATATTTTATTTATTAACATGAAAATAATACAATTATATGACATGGCATTTTTGAAATGACTAGTTGTCCTCTTTTTTCCAACACAGTTGCCATTCTTGGAGAGGTTTTATCCAGTTGTTCCATGTCCTTATAAAGTTATAAAACCAGTTCATCAGAACAAGGTGGAAAACACCTTGTTCTGATGATTGCTATAGCCATTTCTGGACTTCAGCTTGCATCTCATTATCTGATTGGTGATGTTTCCCTCGAAGATGCTTCTTGAATTGTGGGAGAAGGTGAAAATCTGATGGGCCAAAATCTCCAACTTTCACTTCTGCAGAAACAAAAAATTGTGTTTTTGGCAGTGTGCAGGTGCACATTACCATGGAGAAGCTCAGCATTTGAGACAGAAGACATGGACCTTTTGTGATGAATAGCTCCTTCAAACAACTGTGTGTTGGCATTCTGTTTTTCTTCTTTCCCTTTGGTGAAAACTCTTTGTAGAGGTACCCATGAATGTCCCAAAAGACAGTTGTCAAAATTTTTCTAGTACTTGCTGATGTCTTGGAGCAACCTCATCAACAGGAAGTTCATGTGTGAATATTCTTTCTTGGTTTCAGGTTGGACCTGATGAACCTAGTTTCATCTCCAGAGAACTCAAAATTTCTTCCCACTCTCACCTAAGGCACAAGTATTCAAAAGACATTCATTCACAGATGCTTTTGATCTATAGAAACCTGCATGGTGGCCCATTGCTGAACACTTTGTGGAAATCCATATGCTCAGTGATAATATCCCACATGGCTCCAACAGCTGAATGTTTGTTTATTGTGACTTGTCTGTTTGCTTAACAGTTCATCAATAAGGAAAATGGGATTATTTGAAGTAATTGATGACTGTGTCCTTCCTTATTCATGCAAGCTGTCCCTTCTAGAATCAAATTATCATCACCAAAATTGCACTTGCTGTAAAGACATTATAGCATTTCTATACACAGTTGCTAGCTCCCAATGAATCTCACATAGTAAAGTCTCCTTTGCCTACAAAAATCAAATTGTGTCCCCATAATTCCTTTTTTTTTCCAATCACTTTACTCATACACATATTTCCCAAAACATGAATGAATTTTGATGTTCATGCATCTGTTAAATGCCATGATTGATACATGCAAGAGTAAACATGAAGTCTTGATACTGTCAAAACATTTATATAATTTCCTGCATCATCCCTGCTGAAAAAAATTAAAGAACTTAAATTTTTATACACCCACATAAAATTGCATAATAGATTCAACAACTTTTTAAAAGTTGAAACAACTATATTTTTGTCTAATATTTTTGAAATGTATAACATTTCTTCATGAAGGAAATTTAAAGCTAAATTCAATTTCTTCATTATCAGCTATTTCACATCTTATGATATAAGGGATGTTCAAATGAAAGTGAGAATCAGGTTATAAAGGAATAATAAATGTATTTATTCAAAAGAAGTCTCCATGAGTATTGAGGCATTTAGCCCAACATTTAACAAGCTGACAAATATCATCCTTGAAGAACTGGGCTGTTTGTTGGGAGAACAGTTCTCACTGCCACTTGAATGTTGTCATTTGATGAGAATCAACATCCCTTGAAATGTTTTTTAGAGGTCCAAAAATGTGGAAAGTCATGGACTCAATGCTGTGATACTGGAAAAATTGCATCATGCCATAAAGTCTAAGCACTCAGTCAATCTCTCATCTAGTGTTGTTTTTTGCAAAACAATTCATGACCACATACAACCTGTTCCTCCATACAAATTACACCATTTTGGATGGGAAATGTTAAGACATCTTATATATAGCTTTGATCTTAACTCCTGGTATGATTTTTATACTGAATAATTGAGTACAAAAGTCTGTAAATCAATTCATGTGTTTAATAGTTTTCTGAATTGTGAAATTAATCAGTTGCATTATGAGACTGAGCATTGAACAGTGATTCTGGAATTTTAATTCAATATTATACCATTGAAAAATCCATTAAGAAACTAATAAGTATTTTTGAGAAAATTTTTATTAGCGAAATTGTTTTGGTGAGGTATTACTGTGCACTGTTAGAAATAGTCAAGTCCTTATTACTAGACACTAACTTGTCGATCACCAGAGAACAGGAGTAGCTGAGGTGTATGAAAACACAAAATTATTTATGGCTTTGCCATATAGATTGGTGATTTGCTTTTTGTCCTTATGTTAGTAGTGCTCATAGATTCATATTGTAAGTTTTGGCTCTATGGAGGATTTATCACATACTATTGATGTTGTTGGAGTAATTACACAGAAGTGAGTAGACACAGGTTTATTATGACAGCAGTGTATGCATTTCAGACAGGTTGTCTGTTCCTCTTCAGCTGTATTTATTACAATTTGGTGGGTTTCAGTCATTTTGTACCTTTTTTTTTACATTGGTATTTGTATTAGTCTGTATAAAATGGTAATAATAAACAGATTTTAAAGCTTGGATATCAATTTCAAAAATCTGGTATTACAGTACTTGTAGCTAATTTGAATTTGGAACAGAAGAAAATTTAAATTTATTACTTTTGGTATATGTAAATATTTTTAATACGTACATGCTTTATAAGTAAAAATGATGCTAAAGTATTATTAGGTAAAGTATACTCTCCATCACGTATTTCAAATGCTATTCCAGTTTCTCTCCATTTCATATATTTAGAAATATGTATCATATCAGCCTGAAACAAAAATTTAGAAAACTGTGAAAATATAATAATTAAAAATTATGAAGAAATATTTGTCTAAATAATATATTTATATAAGTAAAGTTCTTCCAAAAATTTTGCAAAATTCAGCACATTCTTAATTTATAACGAGTTAAAATATAAAATGTTAATAATGAGAATTATGCTGTAATTTCATAAAAATAATTGCCTGGGTGAAGCCCTGGATACCTTGGGTAACATTTGCACTATTTCCAGAGTTTTAAAAAAAATTTTTGACGATTTTGGTGTCAAAATGCTCAGTAGAACCCTAGCGTGTGCATAAACTATTATTTGGAAAATATAATTCACTCTCAGATTATATCTAATCAAAAAACTCTTAATCTTTAATGCTTAATACCAAAGAGGTATTTTGACATTTTTGGATGCTGTTTTTTTGAGATATAAAAACAATAATTAATGATATGAAAATGTTATAAAAAATTAAATTATCAGTTAATAATTTTAACTAAATAATTAATGAAAGAATAATTTTAATAAATAAGATGACTTTATAAGAAACTCCTAAAAACATAACATACTGCTGAAAATGTTTAAATACTTTGATGATATTCAGTTTTGTATAAATATATTTACTATAAAAAGCTAATACAGTAAAACTTGCATAAACTGGAATTGCATGGTACTGAATATTTTATCTGGTTTGGCAGGTTTCCATTTTAAACAGGTTTTTTTAACACACGATATCACTCTGTTCCACAAAATTTTAATTAGAAAATGAGCAATTTATTATTTATTATGGCATCGTAACAATACTCTCGATTTTACTGGTGTCTTGCCCCTGTATTGTACGTCATAATTTTCTTCTTACAGTCATGCCATTCCTTCTTCCAAGGGAAAATTTTTAAACTGAATTCACGTGACTTCTGGAGTAGATTGAAGTTCCTATACTATTAATCTCAGCCAATTACCATAATACTTCAATATCTAATCTCAGCTTTAATCTATCTTTATCCGCTCAAGATTAAGGAAGGACAGACACCAGACAGGCAACAGTGCAAATTTACAGATCTACAATTTTTTTCAAATTGCAGCCTAATGATGTAATTTTGCACAATCAAACACAAATTTGTGTGTATATCCTATTAATACATATAACTCTCATTGTTTGAGGTCCTCCAATTTAGTGCCAGCCTCTGTAGAAAATAATTGCAGGCTCTAAATTGAGGTTTAATTGTACTGTATTAGAAAACTGAGTTTGACATGACTAAAAGCAAATATTGTCAAGTTTCACACAAAATTATACACAGTATATTTTATTACATTTGTAAATATTTATACAATTTTTCCATCGTCATCATTTACAGCAGCCTATTCCTAAATAATTTTCATAAATAGAACTTCAAAACTTAATAAACAAGTTTTAAACAAGAAAAATATGTGTTAAAAGTTTATACAGATGATTATTCTATAAGCATTCAACTATATTAATATACATACAGTTTAAATTTATTATACAAAAGCCAATTATGACTTTTTAAACTTTTATATTATAATTTCATACAAAATAAAATATATGTCATAAAATATATAAGTGAAATAGTTTTGATATCATTAGATTTGTTGCATACAATTGACCTATATACTAAAATTATGAATCTGTATTTCCTGTATTTGAAGATAGAGGAAAATCGAAACTACTCTTTTGATGCATTGTTTACTTATTAATATTGTTAAATAATAATTAAATAAATGATTGTATAAGTTTCTTATAACTATAAGAACTGTAAAATTATTTTAGTAATACTAAAATATACTGCACATTATTTTTTTTTTCTCGATAAATACATCATTAAGTAACTATATTTTCTTTTGACAAAAAAAACCAGCTATAAATTAGGTTTTCGAGTATAGTTTTACCGTACTCGAAATATGACACAAGACAATTTTTATCTTTTCACCCCCTCGACCTCTAAGCACAAAAATTGAACAGCATAATTCCCCTTATAAACAATCTTCACCGCAAAATTTCAAAAATTTTCGATAAATATATAACATTAATACGTTTTAAAAAATTTCAAATATAATAAAATGTACTGTACATAATATTATCTGAAACTTGACAATATTTGATTCTAGTCATGTAAAACTCAGTTTTCTAATACAGTAGAGCGTCATTTATCCGAAGGTCGGTTATTCGAAACGTCGGTTATCCGAAGGAATTCCAGTCGACAAATTTAAATTTTCGCCAGTGCTGTGGCGCTGCAATCTTTGGCTATGTCTTGGGCTACTCAAATATTTTACGTTTTTGATACTAAATTAACTTCTGAAGTATAATTTTTTATTGTATTTATATTTTTCAATATATTTATTTTGTTTGTACAAAATAAAAAAATAATTTTTAACGATACAATAGTC